TCTCAGGCTGACTTTTTTGTGGGAAGTATTTTAACCATCTAAAAGAATGGTAGGATTTTCTCTGCATGAGTACCATAGGAGTATTTTGGTGACTAATCATTTCAGGAATGCATTATGCATTACTGTCCTTGTGAAAGTCTTCCCAAATATCATCATTAACGTGCCTTTGAAAATTGCAACTTGCATATGATCTGTGAAGATTTGCAAGAGTTCACAAAGTCAAGTCTCAAGTTTTCACTTCAGTGAGTACCTCATGACTAAGCCTGTGCTTGCATCTGTTCTGTCGGACAGCTCTTGAGATGAAGCAGAATACATGTGCAGCAATGTTGTTGAGCAGCCTTGCAGGCCCCACCTGAGGGTTCACGTATTTTCCTAAAAACAGATGCTTTCAGCTGCTTTTTAACTTGTGAGGTGCAATATTTGAAGTGGGTAAAGGAAATCTTTCTCTTCCAGATTCTTGCTGACAAAATTCCTGGCAGACAGGAGGTTTAAAAAAAGCTTAGTGATGCAAACGCACAGAAATAAAAGCAGTGAGGTGGATTAGGGAAAGAATCTGGTGAGATTCAGACTGGAAGAAGGATGAGGACAAATTTGCTGAAAACTGAGGAGAAAGCAGCATATAAGCCAGTTAGCAGAAAAGTGGGAGAAGAGAGTGACTGAAGCTGAGGTAACAGAAGAGACTTGAGTTTGATGAAAACAGACTGGTTTCAAAAAACCAAGGCAAATTAATAAAATACGATAGGAAATAGATTTGCAGGGTGGATGACGTACCAACAGCATGGTGATACTGTTTTGAATGTGTGCAATATCAAAATTATTAGATATCATAAAACAGTTTAAGTTGGAAGGGACCTCCAGAGGTTATCTAGTCCAGCCCCAATCAAGGCAGGTCTGATTAGACCAGGTTGCCCAGGGCTATGTCAAGTTGAGTCTTGAATGCCTGCAAGCATGGAGAGTCCATAACCTCTCTTGGCAATCTGTTTCTGTATTTGACCACTCTTGTGGAGAAGGAGGAAAAAAAAAAAGTAACACTGTAGCAGCAATCTCTCTCTAATAGCCTGACCCATTTCTCTACAACATAGGCGAGCTTTATGTCGTCTTTAGTTCCTTCTCCATCCTCTTCCTCAGAGCTCATAGACCTGTCTGGTTAGCCTGTCTTCTCCACTGGGGAGGAGGAAGAGAGGCTGAAAGTGAGCAGCACATCGCTTTGGGCTGAGGGTAGACCTCCCTGTACAGCAGAGTAACGGCAAAACTGCTGCATTACCAAAGAGTGAGTGAAAGCTGGCGTTTTGCTGTTTAGGAGCGTCCCAGTGCTACAGCCTCCATTCCAGGGGATGTACTTCTAAGATGGGTCTGAATATGAACCATCTTGAGACACAGAGGCAGGAAGGTGATAGACCATGGTGTGATGGACACATAGAGCAGACCAGCAGTAAGAGAAGACTTGGGGACTAGTTGCAGAAGGAGTTGGTGTGGACATGGGAGTATTTTAGATTACTTTGACAAGAAGGATGGGATTATATTTGGGAAGAGGGACATGCTGGAAATTTGGTACCATGACAGGACTGGCTGAAGAAGGAAACTGGTACTTTAAGGGGAAGGGATAGAGCTGGGAATAAGAAGGTAGTGGAAGGACAGGATTGGGAAGATATATTGGAAGGGTTCTTTTTAAAGGAGTTAGACTTGGGAGAAAACAGCAACACAGTCTATGTAAGTTATAGCACGATCATCCAGATCATCTGGAATAGAGGAAAATAGTGGACGTTGTTCTGTGTGCAGCAGTTCACTCTGATTTATTTATTTTTTTTTTTTGATGTGTGATAACTGTTAATCAGCCACACTACAGTAACAAACACTGTAAAATAATTTAAACAAATACTTTTTCTCCTTTGACTCTTGAATTTATCTTGCATTAGATTTGTCTTCCAAAATAGCCATTGACTCTTTAAGCAGTTGGTTCTGCTTTCTTTCAGGACTTTGCAGCTGCCTGTCTTGTCTGGCTTCCTCTCTACTTCCCCAAAGTTGAGAGAAGAGGCATAAGCTCTGGAGGAAGGACATTATTCTATTCTAAAGGCAGGCGGTATATTAAAGGTACTGAGGGCTTCTTAAAAGATACTTTGTATAAAGGAGGAAGTACTCTAAAGTAGACTCGAGCTGAAAGGCCTTTTGAGATGCAGTCCCTGCTGGAATTGTTTCAGAATATAGTTCTAGTCAAAACCAGTGGTTGCGTAGCTTTTCTTCTCCAATGTGTGAAATGGTCTAGCTGCTTTGCAACCTACTTCCATGAGGTGTCCTGAAAATTGAGTGACTGGAAAACATTGACAAAACAGAACACTATTCGCAGTTCAGACAACCTCTGTGCACCACTGGCATCTAATACCATAATTAGTTTACTTTTTACAAGCTGGCAGTACCTCCAGAGAAGCAGTCCTTGCAAACTGGTCTGGAATAAAACTTTCTTTGGTGCTAGTTTATTTTTTAACTGCATCAGTTTTCTGATCTTATTTACACAGTACATGAATGCTGAGGGTAGGACCACTTCAGTGCTCATTTAAGCTGATCCTGTAGCTACAGCATGTTGTCCCATTTTTTGTTTATGACCAAAGGGCTTTCTAAGTAAGCATTTTGTCCCTATTTTGAGATGGGGGGTTTTTTTTGGAAAGAAGTTACTAGTCCGAAGTCACCAACATGGAAATGTCAGAGGAAGGAGTTGAACTCAGGATCTCTTAGATTCCTTGTCCCTTAGATCATAGTGTGTAAAAAAACGGTAGCTATTTCATTTAATTCAGAAACATCTAGTATAAATGCAATTTAGTCTGGATGCCTTCTCTGCACTGGCTCTTTTTCTGTTGTATTACATCTTTTTCAGAGACTTCATTTTCTATAAAAACTTCTTTTCTTGAAAAGGGTGCTGGCGGAACAAGAATTTCCCATCTTCCATTGGATGTTAAAAAATCTCTCACCTTTTTTGAATTATATTTTGGGTTCTATCTTAACTGTATCTTCTTTTTGATGCTCAGAGTTGTTCAAGGTTCAAATTCTCTATTACAAGCCTATATTTTAATCTCCTTAATGTTCCAGATAGATATGTAAGATTTTAATCTCGGAAGGCATATTTCTTACTGAATTGTGAACTGATTAGTAGTAGTGGTTTTTTTCTTACCTGATTTTCAATGTAGCGCATGAAAAAACTTGCTTTTTTTACAGGAGGCTTAAAACCTTCCTAAAGCTACCCCTTCCACTTCCTTTATTAAACTGTATCTATTCCATTAACTGGGCTCTTAACAGTTAACCAAACTATCAATAATATTCTCATACATGCCAAGGTGATTTAGACTCCAGGTCCAATTTCAGGAGGTCATGTGGGCACTTGGTATAACATCACATTAAAAGTTAGTGGGGCTCAACCCGCAGCCACACGTTTGGTTTGTGCACAGCAGTAGGGTTAAAGCACTTCAGACAGCAGAAGCAGCAGAGCTGCAGCGCCTGGGTGTGGGTCAGCTTTTTCTCCGCTGAGACTAGGAAACTTCTGTAGCTGCCTGCCTCTCTAGGAAATAGCATCTGGTTCAAAGTCACTTGGATGTATTTGGAAAATATTACTTGGGTATAATTTGCATCTACTAAATTACTGTACCAAACCTTTTAAATACTGCAGGCATGCTGGAATACCTAAATGGTCTAATTTTGCTTTTGTTATTTAGTTTTTACGTAAGCGCGAGTTTCTCGCTGGTCTTTGAGGCTGCTCGTGAGTTGCTCGTTCAAGGGCAGATTTCTGGATTGTAGAGGTAAAAAGAGTTTAGTTATTTAGAAGTGTAATCATGAGTAAATTAAAAAACCTAGGTTATTCTTCTCAGCCTTGAACTATAAATCAGCAGGTCATAGAACCATACTAAGATTAAAAGCTTTGATTATTTATCTGTAACCTTTTTGTGAGATTATCTAACTGCTTCTTACAATAAGAAAAGCTCTTGACTATCAAGAGGTTGGAGTGGGGGGGGAAGTTGCTTTAATGCTGTCTAGCCTAGACTGCCATTCCGTGCGATTTTTTTTTTTTTTTTCTTTCATCCACATCTAAGTGTATGCTACATTAACTAAAGGGCTTGCAGAACTCAGTGACTTTTTTGTTGTTTTTTTTTTTTTTCCTGTGGTGAAAGCCAACATCTGAGTTAGTAGAATGCAACATTATATATTTCCTTCGTAGCTTCTTAATCTAGTAATACTGAAAACTAGTCACAGCCTTTCAGATTCAGTAGACTTCTTAATGTCCCATATTGAAACATGCCTAGGTAAAAAAATCGGTATCCAAAGGGATGGCTGTATCTGGTTCTGAGAGATACATGCAGTCGCTCACTAATCACTATTCTGTTGTCTTAGTAATGCATTTTATCATGAGATACTTTATTATTTTCAAGGAGGGAGTTTAATTTTTTTTTTTTAAATAGAAGCCTTCTTGGAAAGTTTAGGGAAATAGTTGGATCATTCAGTCAGACTTACTAATGAAGTGTGTATTTCCCAGTGTGTGATAGATTCCAAACCTTTAACTGGCACTGGAGAGATGTTTAATTTATATGGTTAAAGCCCTGCTGTTGTCATGGGTTACTGTGGTGAATTGTCAGCTTTATTTTAATTCTGGGGACAAAAAGATATCATTATTTATACCATCATTACCACCATTATTCTTTATACATTGGTTGAATAATTCATATTTAACTGAAATCTAAGTGTGGTTGATGTACTTAGTAACTGCTACCTGAACTTCTTAACAGCCTTAGTTAATTAAGGCAGTATTATTCACACACTTCGGATAACTTTTTTTTTTTCCCTTCTGAAGTATTTTGCAGGGAAGTCAATCATTCATTGCATCTTCTTTATGTGGAAGGTAACAAAATATTTGTAGCAGCTGTATAAAAATCTAATTAAACTTGGATTGTCTTTAACTAGTTCTGGTTCTATATTTAAATTTTATATCTGTGTTTTGTGAATACTTTCTTTATAGGTAGACAATGTTATTAGCTCAGATAAATCGAGACTCTCAGGGAATGACTGAATTTTCTGGAGGAGGAATGGAGGCCCAGCATGTGACACTCTGTCTAACAGAAGCTGTAGCTGTGCAAGGTGAACTTTCAGGTTAAAATACCTCTACATTACTGTGTCTTTTCTGTTTGAAAATCAGATAAAACTCTTAAAACTTACCTAGTGTATTCTAAATGAAAAATCTAACAGAAATTATTCTTAGTTAAATGAGATTAAGTTCACTAATTTAATTCTGAAAGGAAATGATCTCTTAATTAAGGTAATAGGAGTGTAAATGTGCCAAAATAGGAAATATAAAATCTGACTTTATTCTCACTATAGTTTTACTGTTTTATACTTTGTAACTTCAGTTTATATCTAAGTATGTATTAAACAAGTTGAATTCTAAAATAGATTTGTGATCTAGGATTGGTTTAAACTTGATGTTTTCTAATGGCTTTGTTATGATTTTATGTGTTTAAAAACTTTTTCCTAAATCTGTGTGTTACTCTAAATAGATTTGTGTCTATTAATGACAGGTACTAGGGTACAGAACAAAATTATCAATACAGATATATATATCTCTCGTTATTTCAGTGTTGACACGCATGACCTAATTAATATTTCTTCTAAAACTTCCACTTTGTAGTTATTTATTCAGTGACATTGTAACTTTTTTAGTTAAGGAAAGTAGCATTCTAGCTGTCATGTTTAGGGAGCAAAATCTTGAACATAGGACCATAGTGTATTTCAAGGTTCAAAAAACAGAAAGCAATTAAGAACTGTTTCCTATTATTATTTCTGAAAACATTATGCTTTAAGGGGATGTAATCATTTATGGTGGTGGTTAAGTTGGGATTTTTAGGGTTTGATGCTGGTAATAGTGAATATGAACTTTTTTCCTTGCTAGACGGTGATAACTTGGAAAACATGGAAGGTGTGAGTTTGCAAGCAGTTACCCTGGCTGATGGCTCCACTGCTTACATACAGCACAATTCTAAAGGTAGGTGAATGGCTAGAAGTTGATTGGTATTGAAATCGTATTCCTCTTTTCAACCCTGTCTTTGGATTGTAAAGTCAGGCAAAATCTGTACAATGTTTATGAAGTTCCTACTCCAACTGGGAGTTACAGGTATTACAGTAAGACTGTACTTCTGCTACTAATACGATGTAAGTATTGAATACAGAACATAAGTCAAACAAAAGTGAGATTATTTTTACACTTCAACCCAAATATCAACATTCTGTCTACTGGATAGGACATCTGGCCTTTTCGGGTTTTTTTTGTCCCAGAATTTTAAAACCTCTGTATAGTCATACTGTGCTTACTCTTTACCAAACATTATTTCTTGGTGATATTTTATTGATAATTTAATCCAGAAAGTATCAACTGTCTGTTTAAATTGTGATGTGTCATACAGGATATTTTCTAAGAATTCTAATTGTGTATTTCAGATGGTAAATTAATGGACGGCCAAGTGATTCAATTAGAAGATGGTTCTGCTGCTTATGTTCAACATGTACCCATGCCTAAAAGCAGTAAGTGTAATAATACAATAAATATATTCTAAAATAATTTATTACTCATAAATACTGATATTAAGTAATTAATGGTCATTATAATAGCTTGATTTCTTATTTTAATGGAAACAGTCATGAAGAGATCTTAGGTGTTTTGTAATCCTAGGTGTTTAGTGTTTAATCTTTACAACTAACGGATTTTTCAAACTATTGTTGAAGCATTGCAATTATTTCTTCTGAACAGGGGACAGCTTGCGTCTGGAAGATGGACAAGCAGTTCAGCTGGAAGATGGAACTACGGCATTTATTCATCACACCTCGAAAGGTAAGTTTTTTTTGAAGTGTGATTTATTACATTGGAGTTCAATAGAACTTCAGCAGTCTAAATTACAGTACTCTTTTAGACTATGACAGCATTTAGTGTGATTCCCAATGTCAATTACTTGTTGCTTTTACCTTGTGATATCTGGAAATTATTGAAATGAGTCTGGTTCAGTTCGTTGTTTGGGCCTCATATAACAGTTATAAACAGAAGCAAACCCAGTGTATTTCACTTTTTTTTTAGCCCAGAATCACATTGAAGTAAGTATATGTCATGTTAGTAGAGACTGTAAGCCCTTATACAGATTTTAGCAATAATTGCATGCGAAAATGAGAAGAGAAAGCAAGTAAGAGTCAATCAATCAATCCTTCTTGAGCTAAAGAATGTAGAGATTGATTTAAATTTTAAAGATCCTGCTATTGATGATTTTGCTATTAGGTAGTAGGGCAGAAAATGTGACAACTGACAGTCAGGAATGCAAACATATTTATTTTAAAAGATAACTTAGATTTCTGCAGAAGATGATTACACTAGTCTTGGAAATAGTACTACTTCTCTACAAAAAGTGAACAAGTAACTATTTTAAGTCTGTTTAAACTAGTGTGACAAGAATTACATTCTACAATCAGCAATACTAAGAGAGAATATAATAAAGAATTTCTTCCTCAAAAGTCATCCTATATTTTATGTGTTTCTTTTGCATATTTGCATGATTCTGTTCTTAAAATTGATCAGATTTATGAATTCTAAAATCTGAAGTATTGACATTGGTACACGTGTTACATTATTTTCATTTTATTATGAGTGGATACAAAATGGAAAGCATATTTGTGTTTCTGGTTTCCTTTATAAATAAAGCTAGACCAATATAAAATTGGTTTTGCACTTTCATAAGTGTGCAGAAATAAAGGTCTGGGAGGTGTTGTCTGGAAAAAAATTTCATCAATACTATTCATAGTAATATTTTAAATGTTTATATTTCTTATATGCTAGTGGTTCTATTTCTAATATATTTCATACATATATATGACTTTAGGAGATGTTTCCTAAACAGCAGTAGTTTCTCATGTAACATGCAGACATTGCTATTCCTTTTCTTTCATAACACTTTGTAATATTATTTCTCAGACAGTTACGACCAGAGTGCATTACAAGCAGTACAGCTGGAGGATGGAACTACTGCCTACATTCACCACACAGTGCAAATGCCACAGTCAGATACCATTTTAGCCATTCAAGCTGACGGCACAGTGGCAGGTCTTCATACAGGAGATGCTGCCATTGACCCAGATACCATCAGTGCTTTGGAGCAATACGCAGCCAAGGTACTGAAAGACATTTTCTCTATCCATAATGTTTTAATGTAATATCACAAGATATTTGGCAGCAAAAGCCAATTGTGATCTAAGAATTAAAATGATAATTAAAAGAGTCTTCAGACTCTTAGAAGTGCAAACACCAAATTGTCATGACAATGCTTCACTATCATGAGCAGCCCCAGCATGTAGTGTTGCATAAAAAGAACAAAAGATTGAACACTGAAATGATGTGGAGTCAAACTGATTTGGAAAGTGATTTTGACAACTAAATAATAATTTTCTCTAAAATATAACATTGGAAAGGAGCCTCTTGAGAGGACACTGTTTGGAAAGAAGGACAAAGTTAAATTATTCTTGTTCGGGCACTATTGCTGGATTTTTATTTTTTAAATTTTTTTTCTTGTATTGGGAGGAGTAGGACCTGATGTACTGGGCAAGGACAATGCATGGTATGAAGTATAAAGCAGACAAACAGTTACTAGGTTTGGAAAAAACTTCTTTGATCCATGCTTTCAATAGTAAAATGTCATATGCTCAAAATTCATGTTGTCCACTCTGCTGGACTTCTGTAATGCATGATGGGCAGTGCAACTTCCATGACTTTGTAGTTTAACAGTGTCCCAGCAGTTCCTGGATGATTACCATCAGTGCTTGTAAAAGAGCAGAATAAATTTTAAAATCTGTCTTCTAGCGTTACTGAGAGTTGTCAGATTTTGGGAGAAGGCCAGTTAGGATAATTAAATGGCTTATACACTATTCTTTCCATTATGCTTCTGTCTGTTATAATTGAGAGATCCTGAGAGCCAGTCAGATTGTGTTGTGTTTGGCCATGCCTTAACATTTCATAAAGTAAAAGGTAATTCAAGGTTAGTTGAGCTGTAGTGACAAGCTTTTACACATTCCCTAGCTACTATTTAATTCAGGTTTAAACCAATCATAACTTTGTCCTTCTTAGCAAGGAGCTGTATTAATCGCAATTAGTTATAAGTTTCTGTTTTGAGAACGTGAAGAAGAAACAGAAGAAATGCAAATAAATTTGCATTCTTGTTCTATTTATCTGAACGTGTGTTTTTTAATTCTGTAATGTGAATTTATTTTCTGTAGTGTACTGTATGTGTCTAGGAAAAATTCTGTTTATTTTGTTTAAGCTTTCATCTCAGAACCTTATTCTGAAAGGTAGTGCTAGAACCTCTTAGGGAAAGTCAGTAGAAGTGAGTTTCCAAGTATTGCACTTTTTTTACGTACAAAAGCAAATAATAGCTCAATCATCACAACCCTGTCTTTCTCTTAAAAGGAGAAATGTGGTTTTGTGATTCTACTCCATGTCCGTGTACGCTTCATAGTGAAGCAATGTATACTTTTCATAGCAGCTGGTGTAGGAACATTGAAAAAGGTACAGGAAGGGGCAACAATGATGACCAAACATATGAAATACACAAGGTAAGTATATGATAACATTTTATAAAAAATTAAGTGGCACAAAGAAGAGTAGTGACTTGTCATTGTCATTTCCCAGTAAGAACTGGGAAACATCAGATGAAACTCTCAGGTGACAGGTTCAAGTAAAACAAGGGAAGAATACTTTTTTCAAACAGCACAAAGTTAAGCCATGAACTGCTTGTGGGATACTGTGGATGCTAATATGTCCCTGGATTCAAAGAGTAATTAGATAAATTCATAGAAGAAAAATGTATCCAGGGCTATTAGGTAGAAACATGTGACTTCTCGTTCAGGAATTTCCTAAGCCACAAATTGCTTGGAGGTTGGGAGAATATTTCTGGGTATGTATCACTATACGCTTGGCCTATTCCTTTAGTCTTCTCTAGCATCTGCCAGTGGCTGCTGTTGGAAACAAAATGGTGCGCTAGATTGACCTTTAGTTTGACTGCGTATAGGTGTTCTTAATTGAAGGCAGGCTAAATATTTCTTTAGAATCTGAGACAGTCTTTTAGGAGGAACTCGAAGATCTTCCTTGGAATCCTTCCAGAATTCTCCCAATGCTGAAAAAGAGGTTTAAAATCGAGTGTCTTACTTTTTTTATTAACTTTGAAGGTTTTCTCTTAAGAGTGAAGAAAATTTTAAAGGTAGATCTGGAGAATGTGGTTCTTCTCTGTTCCCCTGTCCTACATACCAGGCAGAAATAGCAAAGATCAGTAGGCTGCCCAAGATTAATGTAGAAACTCTGTAAGAGAGTTCATACAAAAAGATCCAAGAAGACTACAGAGAAGCTCACTGGAAGTGGTGGAACATGTACATTTTTCATTGTCCCTTGCTTCTCCTTTAGGCATAGTACTACTTTCCCACATCTTGCAGAGCACATGCAAAGACTTAACTGGAGTCCTCTTAATTTTGAGCTAAGTCAATGCCACCTTCCTCCCAGAGCAACCAAGGAAAAAGAGATCATGGCTTTCAGTGAACATAAAGTCAGAAGACATGTAATGGAATTTTGAAGAGGTTACAACACATACTTTTCTTCTGTAAGCCATTTTCCTGTGACATCCCAGCTGCTGACAAAGTACAGTTCCTGAGATTTGTGTATGTCTACACGCATGTGCATACATTCCGTTTGGATCATTTGTTTCCAGTGGCGTTGATGGCATTTTAATTTGATGTCAGCAGTTCTTTTCTCAACCAACAACAGGAATTTCAGAGTGAGGTGATTCAAGTCTCCTTTCTGTGCAGGCTCTTCCCTCCCTTCAAAAATTCTGCAGGAGAAGGTCCCCAAATGGCTATTGTTTCCTTTTAAAAAAAAAAAAAAATCACCACACCCGAGAATTACCTGCTTGCAGACTCTCTTTGCAGTCTCTCTGTAATGTAAACTTGCCTCTGCTTCAGCACTTTCCTCTTCACTGTTGTAGCTCAAAGTTGCCAAAAGTATATTGCACACAAATATCTAATTTAGAAAGATAGTAAGTCTGAAAACCTCTTAGGGGACAAGTTCATCTTCAGTCCCCAGGCAAAATGTTGGTAGCTGGTGCTTTGAGTGAGGTGCTTTACACAACCATTAACGTTCTCAGGAGCCTGCTATGACCTCCTTAGTGAAAGGGCAAAAGCATACCAGCTGAGGTAGTGTTCCTGCAGAACTCTTAGAGAAGAATAAAATCACTTAGACTAGATTTAGGTGCATCAATCTCAGCCTTCAGTGTAATGGATGCAGAGAATATTGTGAATGCCTGTGCTCAGTACAGAAGCAAGTAAGGAATGGGAAACTATGTAAAGTATACTTTAAATTAGTTTTTTCTACACTGACTAATAAGATGCTGTTCTTTGAGTTGATGTGTGTGAGTTTGTTCATTTTTTAAAAACTGGGCAATTATATTTTTATTTAAATAAAAATTTAAAATTAACATGTACTACTCTTCAAATATTTTTATAAGCTCCCTGGAAAGCAGCAGTACCTTTCTCCTCCTGCAGACAGTTTTTAAAAATAAACCTATTGAGCAATACACAAGTCTTTGCTCAGCTGTTGTAATTTGACTATTTTGAATTGAGATGTAACACATTGTCTTAGGTATTTTGATTCCAAAGGAGTTGTGCTGTTCAAAACAAGTAAATTCTGCTTAACAGGGAGTGAGACATATACCCCTATTATTAAAGAAGTAAACATGTTCTTTTTTTTTCCTGTCAGAACTCAGTATTGTTCAATTAATTAATTTTAATACTTTTGTCAGTCTATTAATTTAACATACTTGGTTCTTGCAGTTTTTCCTACCTTAATTTAAGACAACCTTGAGCTGCTCACTTTACTTATTCTATAATGCAGGTGCTACAAGTGGTGATTTTCATGTAAGCTAATGTACTATAGGGTAATCATGTTTCAAGAGGGAGCTAGAGAGCTATGAAATAATAAGCACTGAGGAACTGTCTGTAATCCTCTGTTTTTCAGATGAATAAAAATAACCTGTAAATATTTTTCCCATTTCAACTTCATTTTTCAGGTGTCTATTGATGGAAATGACAGTGTTAGTGGCACAGGAATGATAGGTGAAAATGAACAAGATAAAAAAATGCAGGTATGTAGCCCAATGCAAAATAATTAAATGTCTTTCTTCTGTCTTCTCTGCCCAGCAATATGCATGATAGGTAGCACTGTGTAGCTCTGAAGTAGGGTCTGCTGCTACCCTTCAGGAATTTTAGATCTCAAACCTATACAGATAGGTCATATTTCTCACTTTGTACAAGATCCTTTCACAGGGTTTTTAAAAGATCTTCTAATACTTACTGTTTTTGGGTTTTTTTTCTGTTAAAAGGTAATTAAAAATTATGTTGGATCTCTAAGATTTTTCAAGCTGACCTGAGTATTTAATCAGTAAAGGTGTAAGTATTTCAGAAGTTCTTTTCTAGAGAATGAACTGACTTTTTATAGTCCTTAAAGCAGAAGTAATGCTGACTCAATTAATGAATTATTTTCTTCTCAAGAGAGACAATTCTGGACATATGTCTGGAACTGTTCTCTCTGTGGTGACTTATTTTGATTCTACTTGCTCTGTTAGAGTCCCTGACTTTTATTGCAGGTTTTGTAAGTCATCAGTAGATAAGAGTGTTGCTCCTAATGAATGCTTAAAGAAGCAGAAAAATACTTCCATTTCTTTTTCTGTATTCATGTTGTTAGTATGTAGAAATATAAAAACCTTTTCAATGTGAAAATACTAACTTAAAAAGTTCAAAGGGCAATGGAAAATACAGGTGCAACTTATTAAGTCTCAAAGTTTTTTTTACCTGGGATCTATAAAATTATGTAAGGAGAATGGTATTTGTCATCATAACATATTTTATTAAAGGAAAAGACAAAGCAAAATGCATTCTGGGCTTCAAAGAATTATGACCAACAACAAAAATAATAAAACAACCCCTATACCCTCACATGTTCAAATGAGAAAATCAAAAACGGAAATGTCATTGCATTGTGAAAGGTTTGGTCAGAGAAATTTGTTTGATTTAAGAGATAATGAACTAAACAAGGAGGAAAAAGATCTTCCAAGGTAAAATACAGTATCTGTGAAAGGAAGAATTATAGGCTTACCTGTGACAGTTACCTCAAAATTATCCATTCTTAATTTTTTTAAAAGCTAGGTCCCACAATATTTAAAGCCACAGACACTCCACTGTTGCCTGTGTGGCATGACTGTGAAAGGAGAGAATAGCTAATACATGCATTATTTATGGTATTGGAATACATTCCATAAAATAAAATCAAGAAATTTAGAGGTCTTGCACACTTGTATGTTGGAACAGGGATACAACTTCAGCAAAATGCAAAATTCAAGGAAGAGTAAGATAAGATCTTGGTTGGTTTTACCTGGAAGAGCCTATTAAGTGAAATGACCTGTTAACCAGTATCCAGTTACATGTTTGTTTCAGCCTCAGCCCCAAAACAAAGAGAATCTGGATGTTGTTTTATTTTACACATGCATGGCAACACATATGCCATATGGAAATGTGCCAATCTTATGGAGCATTGTATCTTCCAAACAAAAAAAATCTAATATTTCAAAAGGTATTGAGGTTTAGTCTCAAATTCTGACCCCTATAAGGTGGCTTCCGTTGGCCAACTGAAGGGTCCCAAAGCTATCAGTTATGTATGAAAATCTGAATCATGTTTATATCTTGATTTAAGTAGATACCTACTTGTAACTCATTCTGAAATAATACATTACTTGTGATAAAAGTCTCCTATTTAGATACAGTATTAAATAAGTCTATATTCATAAACTTTTAAAGTCCGCAAGTAATACAAGAACAGAACAGATGTCATGCTGCTAAGTAGTCATTCAAACGTGTGTGTGGTTAGGTTTTTCACCAAAGAAAAAAAGCATAAAACCTCTTTGTGATTTCTACATGTGAAAACAAGACTACGTATGTGGATGTCACACAGTATTTCCTTTCAAACCTGTCATACCCATCTGTTCATCATAAAAGCAGAATCATTTGACTGAAGTTTGTATGTATACAATATAAAAATCTTATCTGAGATCTTTGTTACCTTTGTTGTTCTCCTGTGTTACCTGTCTGAACTAAGGATGCATTTGTGATTTCTTTTAAAATTAGGATTTTTTAAAATTTTTTTCTATTTAAAAGTACTTTGAAGTACACAATTCCTCTCAACAAGTTTCACATTATTATAAAGATGTTTTATTTGCTATGTTCTTTTGATTTTGTGCCTTTTAGTTTCTTTTTTAGTTTCTTTAGAGTGTATTACCTTCTAAGAACAGTAATTTTAATACGACATCTGTCCTTGTTGAATGATAATACTAACTGAATTCTTAATAACCCTCAAGTCATACCAGCTAATGTATTGTGAAGAAACACATACTTCTGCAAACAGTTGTTTGAACAAACAAATGATCGTGATGTTCAACTGATTTTTTCTGAAGTGTTTTGTTTTTATTCCCCCCTTGCTTGGTATAAATCTTAATATTGATAAAATTATGTCTGGTTATTTCCTTACAGATACTAGCACATTGATTATAGAACTGTTTTAATTTTCTTTTAAACTTTGGCATGCTTCAGCTTAATAGCAGATCTTAGCAACTATATGCATATTTTTATATGCTGAAACAACAAAGAAATACTAGCAGGTTTACTGATAGAAAAAACAAATCAGTGCTTTAAGGGCAGGTGCTTAACCAAGCATCATCTTCATGATCCTTAATATATTGAAGTGACTTCTGTGATTCATGGTATCATAGGTTAAACAATAGTATTAGTAATAGGTTTCTTGATTCATGAGGTTATATTTTTCTCCATGGTTCTAGAGAAGCTTTTCTGAAGTGGTGGAGTTGTACATTTCAGTTCATTAAAAATTTCGTATTCAACTTTGCATATTTCATCTTAAGAACAGTCTGAAGGTAACGCGGGATATTCTCCCTGAAGAATTCATAGGGAAGTTGTTCTTAATCAAACTTCTGATCTATCTGAATGGGGAATTTAGATAGAGTTGCAGGGCTACAGTCTTGTTGGGATGGAGATGTGGTGGGATAGTTCAGGTGACTGCAGTGCTGTGATGGATGGATACAGCGTCTTTAATAAGGCCAGGCGGGGAAGGAGAGGAGGGAGAGCTGCCCTTCATGTGAGAGCAGCAGGACAGCACAGGGCTCTGCTTTGGGATGGGTGATGAGCCAGTCAAGAGCTGATGGGTCAGAATTAGTTGGTAGAGCAGTGTGGGTGGCGTTGTGGTGGCTGTCTGCTACAGACTGCCTGATCAGAAAGAAGATGAGGCCTTCTTCAGATATCTGGAAGAAGCCTCGTGTTCACAGGCCGAGGTCCTTATGGGGAATTTGAACCACCTCGGTA